CGATGAGATGTCTTTGATTTTTTCCACTTGCGAGTTTGGTCCTGGGTCGTCTTCTGCGTCCAAGCGAGAACGCTTCGTCGCCATCGTGCAAATTGTCGAATGATATGCTAGCTCTCCTGCTTTGGCAACAAAGATGCGGTCTAAATCACTGAATTCAAGTATATTGTTATGCAGCCATCTATTGGCCGAATTTGTATTCATTGCACTTGCAGTGTGTGAGTGATGTTCAGATGTAAATGGATTGCTAAACAAAAATACGTAAATAGTTTTAAACTATTACTATTACTGGAGCTTTGGATGGGTTGCTTTACCACATTACGATGCTATCTCCATCGCGCCAACCGCGAGCCAAATTTCCACTTGGAACCAAGTCAACTGAACCAAGCATTTTCTTCAGCGAGGCGAAACTGGTTCGAGCGATCCAAACTCTCGATTCAACTTGGAAGAGAACGGATGAAGAAAAGATTGATACACCACCGCTGTCAGACTTGCTTCGTGAAGCGATATGCAGTGTGTTGAAAATTGCAGCTTGTTTCGACGTCCCCGACTTGATAAATAAGTCTGAGTTGGAGACAGTGTGTACTGCTCGAGTGCTTGGGTGTTTAAAGCGATTTGTGGCAGGTATGCCGCCTTCATTTGGCGAATGTTGTCACCGCAAATGTGAGCAACGATTAATTCACCTGGCGCTGCTGAGCATTTTGTTTCGTATGTGCCGAGATCCAGAAGTGGCTGGCTACGTTGTAAGGGAAGGTTTGCACAGATTTCTGGTTAAAATGTGCACAGCGAGTTCGATGGAAGATTATGATGTGAGTTCGAGCATGGATCCGAAACATGATGAAGCAATTCACACTCAAGACTTCAATCCCCACGACCTCATGATAACAGTCGACCCATTTGATTGGTGCTACCAGCCGTTATGTACTCGCTTGCTGAAAGAGAACAATCATTCCTTCTTCATCCCATTTGGAATCCAGTCCTTGATCTGCTTGTTACGTGGAATTGCACTACCCACTGACGAAGTATCCGAGTTTGAGCTACGGATACACGTGAACGGTGGCACCCAGAAACGTCGAAAACTCCCGTCAATTTTTGTGTTTCCCTTACATGGAGGCAACGAAGTTCGTGTTTCAAACAAGACTAGTCAGTACAAACTCCCCTCTCTTTGCTGCAACGAGCTATCGACACGAAGTGAGCAGAGAGAAAATATCGCGCTGTGGAGTTTGGTACTGAACGATAATTCGAGTATTCATCATGCTCTCCGATCTCTCATCGCACTTTGTATTCATCTTCCACGATCATCGTTGGAATACAGATCTTTATTACGCGAAGGAAATAATATCCGCCATTCTCTTTGGAAATACAGTTGCTTGACGCCCAACTATCACAAGCTGGAGAACGCACTATCATATCTCAATGCTGGTACCGGTTTATTGTTACCATTTCAACTTATTGCTATCCAAGAATTAACGTTGACACGCATTGCTTCCACTGCTTTGCCACTCTTCGCTGAAGACGAGTCTACAAATGTGGTTGTCATTCCGATAAAGCAGATACCTATTGGTGGACGAAGAGTACTCAGCCCGATCAGTAAGAAGCCTAAGAAACGGAGGGATGGTGAGCCATTATCACTTCGCCAACGCCTGCACGCTGCATCTGAGGCGGCACATTCCGAGTTAACAAGATGGGAGAATCAGCGTACTCTACGCAATCGAGGCTCTGAACTTGTGAGGAATCACCAAAGACTCGCAATCCGAAAAGCGTGCGCCGATGTCGAAAATCTGCGGAAGCATTTAATTGGTAGCCTTGAAATCCTATGCTTCGGACGACAACATCCTGACCCCCAGCAACCATTTTCAGCGTGGATCAAGTCACTTCCAACAATTGAAACGCTTCAACTTGAGCGACAATATCAACAGGAAATGCGCCAACGCCAGATTCTTGAGCAGCAGTATCAAAGAGAAGCTCTTCGTCGTCGTGAACGAGAGGAATGCGTCCTAATGCAAGGAAATGACTACAACATACCAGAAGAGAACGAACTATCGATTCGACAGCAGAAACACCAACAATTTCTTTGTATGCAAGCAGAAATGCGCCAACTTGAGCAACGAGACTCCAATGAAGACAGCCCTATGCTTACCACAGAGGCTGATACAAAAGAGACGACAATGAAAGAAAAACGTGCGAATCAAGAGCGTCAACGCTTGTTTCAGCTTGAAGATCAACAACGTGAAGGACGTGAGTTGGAGAAAATGAGCCGCGAGGATCTGTATTACGTAGAGCGCATTATACGAGCTAAGGCAAAAGCGAAGGAGGAACAGAAAAAGCGAGAGAAGAGTGGGGATCTTAAGAAAAATGCCATCGAAGAGCAGCAGAGGCATATAGCACGAATGCGTCTGCTGGATGAGGAGAAACGACTTGCTGAGCGAGAAAGCAGTGGAATGCAACTTGAAGATTTACTAGGGAGGCAGATCCGCCTTCGAGAAGCTGAGAAAGCGAAGGAAGAGTTGAATAATGAATGGCGTGAGAGGAAGGCAATGCAGTCAGAAGAACATGATTGTCGATCTCGGTGGACACTATTAGAACGTGCTTTGATTAAACAACAACAGGAAGAGTTGAAGCAACAGAGAGCTGAAGCTCGGAGGCTAAAACGACAACAGCAAAGAGAAGAACGAGAGGTTAGAGCTGCATGGGTTGAAAGCTGGGATGACAACGGCAACAAGTACTACTACAATTCCATAACCGAGGTATCTCAATGGGAGGTGCCCGACCAATTTTGATGTTTAGTGACATAAACTGATGAAGAACAGTCGAAAACCATATCACATTCTGTCTCACAACAATGTGGGTGAAGTGTATCGGCCGTACAGGGGCTGTCTTTTCGCGTGGCAGTTGAAGTTGATGACACAAAGTACATTATCGACTAGGTGCAATAATGTGTGGACCGAGTGATTTGGAATTCTTTCTAGCGAAGATGGAAATCGGGGAATGGATTGGGCGAGAATGTGAACTCATGAAATCACTCAAGAAAGGTTTTGTATCTATATGAGGCGGAAACAATCTTGTCTGCAAAACCTTTATTACCTGAGAGTCTCGTATGAAACCATTTCAGGGAACTACCCCCAGATGACTGTATTCACTTGATCGTAAGGCTGCCAGAGTCGGATTCGCGAAAGCGTTACTGCAGGGAAGATTGGTTTGAGCCGGATTCTGAGCCAAAGAAGAAGCAACTCTTTTCCTAATGAGAGATTTCTCAAGCATGGTATCGGACCATATGAGATCATTTACGGTCCGATGGCAGGATTATTCAGAAATCACTTCGATAGCCTGAAGTCCGGTTGCAACATTGTGGTGACTGGCAATCCTGGAATTGGGAAAAGTAACTTTTACCTGTATTATATTCGGGAATTGACGTCGAGTGGATTGTTTGATGACTCGCTGCTCGTCCTGAATTATGAGGACGAATATCTGCAATGCTGCTGGATTACACTTACGTTTTATGATATGACTAATGATGAAGTCTACAATGCTCGGAAATTTTTGAAAGCTGTTCGTCTTATCGAGGGTGGGTCGAACGATATGAGATCCTGGCGTTGGGTATCTATCGCTTTTGTGCACCCGGATTGGAAAAGTTTGGTAATAATGCGTACCGGTATACCCTACCTCTATGGAACAAACAGGAGCTTATTCAGTTCAACAACTTACTGGATGAGAGCGAAAAGCTGTCTGAAGAAGAGCTTATGAATCGGTGCGATGAGGTTGGAGAGCTTGCTGTACGTGTGTTTTGTTCGTGGTTTGAACTAATGGACTTTTCGCCCCATTTTGGTTTAATAGAGGACTTTCATACAGCCATTTAGGATGCGATCAAGACACAGTCTTTAAATCGCACCGTGATGCAGGAGCTTTTTCAAATGGTTCCAAATCGTACCGACTATCGAGCCGTTTACCATTTGAAGGGTTCATTTCACTCACAGTTGCTCGAACATTATCTCGAGCGCTTCACTAGAAATGTTGTAAGATCTATCGGTCTTTGCTTCCTGCCATGGGGATGACGCTAATAATGGAGTTACACGAGAGCAGATATACGTGGAAATGCGTCACCACTGGTTTGCAATCCAACCTGATAATAAATTGAAGCTTCGATCCTTATCTGGTGGCAAAAGTGAAATACTACTGAAAGTTCATCCGATGCAACTGGCCATCAAAACCCTCGACAATGAAAGTCAATTGAAGTCATCGTTTCAAGAACCCTCGTATCATAAGATTTTCTGGTGCTACCTCTTTCGGATAAGAGTTACTTTGCAAGTGTACACCAGTACGCCCATCACTTGGACGCGTTTTGGGATCAACCCAAAGAATCTTTCCCAGCTTTTTGGGAATCGGATGACGAGGATTGCTGAATGCAGAGCAACGCCAGGCACAAGTTTCATGAATCAAATCTATTTGAAAACAAAATATTCCTATTCATCCTCATCAGCTCTTAGTCTCCAGCCCTCAGCTTGATTCCACTCTTCAAGACCTTTAGCCTCGCTCCAGTCAATCTGAATCTCTTTAAGTTGTTGAGGAGAACCCCAGTCAGACTCAGATTTTGGAATAAATGATTCTAGTTCGCCACTTGGAAATATTTGGTCTGCTGCAAAGTCAAAGAACTTTTCCCACTCTCTCACTGCTTCTTCATCCTCAGACAGTTTCGACCGATTTCGCTTGATTAGCTGCACCATCTCCTTGTGGAACGCGGAATCGGTGGCCAGCTTGACGGCTAATGCCACATACTCGTCCAAGGAAGCAGCAATGAGATCATTGATTCCCATTTGTTGATAGAAGCCGAACGTAATTCGGGAGGCCCAGAGCTCGTTCGGGAACGTCACTACTGGAACACCAGCAGCAAAGGCTTGTAGTGAGGCTCGTGGCCGTGTGAGGTGAAGGCTCGCGATAACAGCATCTGCAGCCCGCATCAGCATCGACTCTTGTTTTTGATCCACATCTGTGAGGAAATGTAAACGGTCTGGATCAACGCCTGCAGACTCCATCCGAGCTTGGAGTTGGCTCTTCCAGATCTTTCGGCTTGACGTCGATAGAAGGAAGAGATGTGCTTTCTTGTCTTTCTCAAAAAGCTTTGCTACCGCAGCATCAAAGTCAGGATGAATATGAATTATAGACTGGTTGAAAAACACACAAACAAGATGAGACAGAGAGTATTCAAAACGATACAGTTGTGTACATACCTCGATGGCAAGGTAGAAGTGAAAGTCTGGCGAAATGTCGAAGCGCTCCTCAATCGCTTTGCGCACCTGACCTCGATTAATATCCCTTTTCGGTAAAGCGGGGAGCTTGTGATATATACCCATTCCTCTACAAGATACACGAACAGGATTAATCATTAGCATCCTATCCATAGTTCACAGTGGTTGTGACACAGTTGCTTACTTGAATTTGTAGATGGCTTCCGAGTAATGCGAGTTAGCAGTTTTGTGCTCGTGTTCACTAGTGAGGTAGTAGTCCATTGTTGGTACGCCCGAAGTGTCAGCATTACCCCACCAAACCGCTTGGACTGGAGCCAGCCGAGCTAGAGACACGAAATAGGTGGTTTTATCCATTCCGAGCTAAGCATTAAACGGTGAGCAAACATGGTTGACCTTCATAACAATGTCACGAGATGAACCAACCTCTGGGTAGATGAGCACATCCATTTTCCATGCTCGAATCTCTTCGCGGACAATGCGCATGTCTTTCGGAAGAGCAACGATCTGTCGTATACCACCACAATATATGATATTAGCCTCGAGATACATACCATTCCAGGTATGATACATGCATTTTACTTACCGTTTCAGTGACTGCATCGATTTCCTTGGCCACTTTCATAGACTTGCTTTGTCCTATCGCAAAGACAACGATCTCGTACTTGTCTCGGTTGAACTTGGGTATTAGCTCCGACATGTACAACCCCACAGCCGAATTGAAGATGTAGCGCGAGACAAATCCAACTCTCAAGCGTTGTGGACCAATCTACACAAGTAAGAATGTCAGTACAAATTAAGTAAGAACACTATGTCCACACAAGTACCTCGGGTCTCTTGACATCCTCGATCTGCTGAGTGTACGGCAGTGGAATGATGCCATAGCTTGCCACATAATCTTCGAGCATAAGCTGCCGTCGATACAGCAACTGCCAATACAATTGACCCATAGCTGCCTTGAGCTCGCGGTTATTTCGGTTGTGCGCTGTCAACGTAATTGCGGTCGACAGCGATATTCGATTAGGGTCCACCTCCGTCGTCTCAAGTGAGTCCACTGGTTTGTATCAGCGCAAACTTGAGTTAACAATACGTTTTGAAGTAGCATGAACACCAAAGTACTTACGATTGTGTAGCAATGCCTCGACTTCACGTTCAAAACGATCACGATACGCGTCTATTTCTTTTTGTGATGAAGGGAGGACACGCGGCAGAACTGTTGCTTTCATGACCATAATCCGTGTTCGAGGGTGGAAGCGGTCGAAGATTTCGCTGCCAAGAACCTGTTACCAGAATGCAGGCTTTAGAAACGAGTAATTTCCCATCAGATAGAATACAATCGCACCTGGTCGTAAAGATCAATACTTTTCTGTGTTTCCCCGAGAGCTTCCAATGTCTCGGCAAGATTAAGCTGCAATAATTGACGCGAATTGTCGTTAGTCTCGTAATTAAGCGCTTCACTCGACCCAATACCAAGTATCTTACCGTGCCTGCAAGCAGACCAAGCTCCGACGATCGCTGATATTCATTCAGCGCCGTTTCAAATTGACCAGCATTTGCTAGTAAATTACCACGATCATTGTGAAAAACAGGTTCGTCCGGCCAGCGTTCCAGCGCTTCGTTCAGACAGCGATCAGCGCGATACCAGCCGTCAGTGACGCGGATGAGCTCACACAGTCTTCCCGTTGCATCTTTTGCCACATGTTCAGCCTTTGTCGGCTCCAGTTGGCTATACAATAAACTCATTGGTGTGTTGGCCACTTTGCTGTATTCCTTGAAGGCTTCCTCCCACTTCCCCTTTGACTGCATGGCATCTCCCAAGTTAACTGCCGCTTGGACTTGCATAGGGTTCAGCTCTATTGCTCGTCGGTAGTGCTTGATCGCTTCATTTATTCGACCAAGAGATTTTAGACAAATCCCAAGCGAGTTGTGGAAATTCTCCTCGCTCTCGTTCGACTGTACTGCTCGATATAACAAAGACAGTGCTTCATGCAACTTGCCGTCTTGATACAGTGCCAGTCCTAGTAGATGCTGCGCTGGTCCGTGATCTGGGAAAATGGCCAACACGTAGCGATAAATGCCAGACGCTGTTTCTCGTTCCTGTGCTTTGTGCAGTTCTGCTCCTGCTTCCAGGGCGTCGGCTACGCTTAAGCGGTCATCGACGCCTGGTAATAGGATGGAACCGACTGAAAACGTTCGTGTGGATAACGCTACCATATTGCCGTCGTTCTCCAGCCCGACAGTCAACGCGTAAGAGAGACCTGGTACGAGGCCAGCAACGTGGAATGTGGTGTAATTCAAGCTCTGATCGAAGCAGGACTCGTCCACTTCGCCTGCTCCGCTATCGAGTACCACGTCGGGTGGTACGTAGGCTGGCTGCATCACTATGCAGACCCTGGAGCGACGCAGACCTGAGCTCAGCAGCTCGGAACGCACCTCGATTTCCACCTGCAGCTCTGTATCCGCCATCATCATGTCGTTCTGAGGGTGCAGGATCTCCAGCAATGGCAGCGTGTAGTACGGCATGGGGTCATTGAAACCGGGCGACAGCGCGGCGACAATAGCCACGCACACGGAGCAGCACAAGACCCACACAGGTGCAGCCATCCTCCCTGTGACTTGTGATGCTGCTAGATACTTTTGTGATTTGCATGGATACAAATGCTTTTAGCCAATGAAGTAAAGATTACGTTTTCATAATTACCAGTAAGATTGCGGTATTTATTAACGGCCTCCGTTGGTCGTGTTCAATGGCCATCCGTCACTTGTAAAGACGCAAGGAAACACTATCAGCATGGCCGAGCACAACCGCTACGAGCACCCGCTGGTGAGCCGCTATGCCACCAAGGAGATGAGCGAGATTTGGTCTCCGGACCGCAAGTTCTCGACGTGGCGTCAGCTGTGGCTGGCGCTGGCCAAGTCCGAGAAGGAACTGGGTCTGGCCATCACGCAGGAGCAGCTGGACGCCATGGCTGCCCACCTCACGGACATCGACTATGAGTACGCTGCCGAGATGGAGAAAAAGTTCCGTCACGATGTCATGGCTCACGTGCACACGTTCGGCAAGGAGGCGCCTGTGGCCATGCCTATCATCCACTTGGGCGCTACCAGCTGCTACGTGGGTGACAACGCCGATATTATCCAGATCAAGCAGGGTCTGCAGCTTATTCAGCGCAAGATGGTCAAGGCCATGAAGGTGCTGGCCGATTTTGCTCTTGAGTACAAGGACATGCCCGCTATGGGCTTCACGCACTTCCAGCCGGCACAGTTGGTGACGGTCGGCAAGCGTGCCTCGCTCTGGCTGCAGGACTTGTGGCTCGACTTCCAGCAACTTAGCGAGCAGATCGACAGTCTGCCTATGCGTGGCGTCAAGGGTACTACCGGTACTCAGGCCAGTTTCCTGGACCTGTTCGAGGGCGACCACGAGAAGGTTAGAGCTGGTTTTGAGGATTTCAGAATGTTATAGGTTTACTTATCGCGACTTTGTTAACACGATGACAGGTCAAGAAGCTGAATGAGCTGGTGGCCGAGAAGATGGGCTTCAAGAAGGTGATCCCCGTGTCTGGCCAGACGTACACGCGTAAGATCGACTACTTCGTGCTGTCGATCTTGTCGGGTATCGCCCAGTCGGCCTACAAGATGGCGGGTGACATCCGTCTCCTTGCCAACATGAAGGAGATCGAGGAGCCGTTCGAGAAGAACCAGATCGGTTCTTCGGCCATGGCTTACAAGCGCAACCCCATGCGCTCGGAGCGTATCTGCAGTCTGGCGCGTTACGTCATCTCCCTCACGGACAACGCCGCGCAGACCCACGCTGCTCAGTGGTTTGAGCGCACGCTGGATGACTCGGCCAACCGGTGCGTTAACTTTCCAGCTTGAACTTACTGACCTGACTTGCAGTATACTGACGATCTTTGATGGTTATACAGTCGTATGGTGCTTCCGGAGGCTTTCCTCGCCACGGACGTCATCCTGAACCTGATCACCAACGTGTCGGACGGTCTGCAGGTGTGGCCCAATGTGATCAAGGCGCACATCAAGGCTGAGCTGCCCTTCATGGCCACCGAGAACATCCTGATGGCCTGCGTGAAGGCCGGCGGTGACCGTCAGGAGCTGCACGAGGCTATTCGCACGCACTCAATGGAGGCTGGCAAGCGTGTTAAGGTGGAGGGTGCCGCCAACGACCTGCTGGAGCGCATCGCCGCCGACCCGCTGTTCAAGGCTGTGCACGACCACATGGACGCGCTGCTGGACCCGTCTCTCTTCATCGGTCGCTGCCCGCAGCAGGTTGAGGAGTTTATCGGTGAGGAGATCGCCCCCATCCTCAAGGAGCACGCCAAGCTGCTTGAGGTGGAGAACGTCGACGGCATCAACGTCTAAGTGCATCGACCCTGTTGCTGTCAGCAACGCTTTCGTAAATTACCGTAAAATATCGAGTAACGTTGATATTTACAGGTAAATTTCATGAAAAAATTCTATCGACATATTTTAAATGCAAGTTTAAAAGTTTCAACAATAAGGTTTATGCGATTCAACAGTTTTCAAGCCTCTATAAATACATGAATCATGCGTTTTCACAGGAATCTGCCCGTGGCTCCCTCCACTTTCACCAGAACCGCTCTTCACATACTCACGCCATGTCAAGCAGCTCGTCCAGTGGCTACTCGGACGAGGACCTGGAGGCATCAGCGCCAAGCGCCGCGGCCCCATCGGCCTCGGAGCTGAGCCACGCGGTGGAACTGGCTCAGATCTGCTCCTTCTGTACCACGTTCCGTCAGCCACTGCGCCTACCGAGCTTCTCTCGAACGGTAAGACGTCGTTTAGAAGCTCCTCGGTCTTGAGTCGTAAGAGGAGGCTTCTGAGGCGGGTCCTGAGCCTCAGGGGACACGGGGGGAGACACCGAGACATCTATAGATGCCTCTACATCTCCGCTACCTCCCCGTATCCTCTACACTTGGGATTTGTATGCAGGGCATGGAGTTTTACCCCCTCGACGCCAATGCTCACCTGTACATGTCATACCTGTTACTATCGATTTTAGGCCCTCCAAGAAGCCATTCTGGGCGCTTCCAACGGCGATATGACTCATGTAAGTTGACGAATATGATACAGCATTGCAGTGGCGATTCTAACGAGCGTTCTGGCGTTCTGACGTTCTGGTGGTCCCCTCAGGTGGAATTGTTGGCCGAATTACACTTCAAGTTGGCGCGCGAACACCCGACGGCGAAAATGGAAAAAATGTGAGTGCAATGTTGTTGCCCATTGGTGACGAGGCTGTACAGCCAATGGTTGCGCGTACACATGTACTAATGCGTTTTGGTGTCGATTCACAGGGTGCAGGACTGGGAAAAGACCTTGGCTCGTAAACTGCAGGATAACTGGCGCAAAGAATTCACTGCGAATCCCATGGGCGGAGGCGTGACGTATGCACGACTAACGGTGTTTGAAAGGGTAAGTATTTCACTTTTTAAGGGGGTAAGTCGATGTTGAGGCTGAAAGTATCTTTGTCGGTAGGTGAAAATTCTGGATGCGCTGTGCCATTGGAAACTCGACACGTGTGCCGAGATCCACAAACACATTGCCAATTTGCAAAAAGAAAACGACAACGAGGGCATTAAGAAACTGGTAAGGTGGTTGTGGTGGAATTGTAGTGGTGTGGTCTTCTAAGAGATTGTGTGATGAAATAGCGAGCAGGGGAGATCGGAACGGATGACAAGGGAGTGTCGTACTGGTATTTTGATGATGGATGTTGGATATACGCCGAAGACAAGCCACGGTGGCAACTTGAAGACAGGTACGATACTGTTTAACTAGCTGTGGTAGCTACACGTTTGCTAACCATTCTACCTTTACTCTAGGAAACCGTCGTATGTGGTGGAGTTTGCAAGTGCCAAACGAATCCGATTATCTATTAATTTTGACCCGGACCAGGATTCGTCGGCCCCACCGCTCCGATTGCCAGTAAAATCCGTGGCTTTCGCTGACGAAGTCAAAGAGGAGAAGATGAAAAAGGAGGTGGCACAGTGCTCATCGGATTCGAAGGTGAAAAGCGAAAGTGTTTCTACCGAGACAGTAAAATTGGAAACGACTGTCGAATTGGTCAAGACAGAGAAAGAAGAGTCAACGTTGGTATCCGTGGCAAAAGAAGTTCACGTCACTACAGACGAAACTGCGGCTGCTGTGAAAGAAGAGGCCTCGCATGCTGCCCAGACTCCGACTGCCAGGAGAATGGACATTAATGCGCTGTGTGCGTCCGTGTCTCCGTTGAGTGAAGAAGCTGGGGCCTTACACCAGTCTAATGGATCTATTCAGACGCAAGGTGATGACAACGTGAGTAAATCGGCAGGTTTGGCTTCCGTGTCAATCACGACTACACGAATGGAGTCACCACGATCACCGGACAAACAGGAAGATACTACTTTATGTGACAAGAAGGCTACGGCTTCAAATGAGGAGAAAACTTCTTCTAAGAGCCCAGGAAAGGAGTCGCCAGTGAAGATAAAAGAAGACAATGCAGGTGACCATACCCACCCATCCGTAGTGGCCATAGTGGGCTCCAAAAAGCGTACAATTATCGACGACGACAGCAGCGATAGCGATGTTGATTTATCAAAGGAAACAACGGATAAAAAGGTGGAGTCTAAAGCGGCATCATCCCCGCCACCAAGAAAGAAACGTAAAGCAAGCATTGAGAACACCAGCAACGCAGCAGCTTTGAGCACGGACACCATCAAAGATGAGTCAATGGAGCTTGTTAGTACGCAATTGAACGGCACAACGGCCTCTCAAGAGTCTCATGGCGATACTCAAGTGTCTAAAGGCGACGCTGTGGCTAAAGAAACGAGGCCAGTAGTGTCCAAAGCTGGTCCTGTGCCAACGATTGTCAAAGATTTGAGCTCCCCGTCGTCAAAAGTGAATGCTGAAGCAAAAGAACCGAGCCCTTCAACCGCTGTACCGAAAGATAGCAGCGAAGAAACCGGTAACACTGAAGCGAAGAAGCCTGAGGATTCAGCAAGTCAAGTAACACCGTCGGGTCCTGCTTCAACGTCACCGACCGATCCAGCTGCAGCACCGGAATCATTCGACATTACCTGTGAAAGCTGCAAAAAGTGCTATGATATGAGGTATGTGGATCCTCCATTAGTGGAGCGACCAACCGAGGAGTGGCGATGTTTTGAGTGCCTGGTGAACGATGCTCGTGGCTGGCCCCGTCGACGGAAATCTACCCCGAGAGAGACTTTCTCTCCGCGTGAAGATGAATCGTCATCTAGGAGACGAAGCTCATCGTCAAAGTCTCGCAGTGGATCATCATCGAAGAAGTCGAAGAAAAGCTCCAGTAAAAGTCGCTCCAGCTCCTCCTCCAAGAAGAAAAGCAGCCACAGCAGCTCGTCCAAGCGAAAGTCGTCCAGTAGCAAGAGCAGTTCTAGCAAAAAATCGTCCTCTTCGTCTTCGAAGAAGCACAAGAAGCGCAAGTCCTCGTCATCTTCGCATCACAGCAGCCACGGACACCACCGAAGGCGGCATCATTATCATGCAGAATTTGCTAAGCTTGTGACCTTGTTCCGTGAACGGCAAGAGCAGCGTCTTGGTATTGAAGAAGCTCGAATAAACGGAGATCTCCAGATGGCTTTTGATGAAGCCCCTCAAGGCTGGCGTGTGGTTAGCTCCACGCTTGATGATTTACGCGCACTGATCGAGTCGCTGTCTGGCGGATCTCTGGAGCAAGACCGACTGAGAGGGCGACTTATCTTGATTATGAAGGAGCAAGAGAAACAAGAGGAGGAACGGCGGAAGCAACAAGAACTTGCTTGGAATATCCTCCCACGGCGGCAATCGTCTCGCATTGCGATCGGAAGAATGAAGAACCAGTCCACGCAGGAGTCGGATGTGAGTGCTGTCAGCTGAGGTATGTTGTTGAATTGACGAACACTAATTTTATTGTATATGCAGGTGGAAGACAGATATTCTGACGACGACGAGGAGAACCGACGTCCGGGTTTGCGGTCAAGAAGATCGCCTGATGGTGTCGATGACAGGCAAAAACATGACCGGTATTTCTGGGTTTGTCTTCCAGCAGATTCATTTCAGATTTTAACAGTGTCTTTGCTTGTTATTCAGAGCGTGGCGGGCACGCCGGCGACATCAGGGTTCAGACGATGAGGATGTAGAGGATGAAGATGACGAGTTGGATAGTAATGGTGTGACTGCCGGAAATTGGATAGACTGGTCGCTGTTGAAGGTACTATCAGCTACTTGGAATGGGACTGTGTCGTTGATTTGACCGTTTGGCTGTTATTTTCTATAGGGTAACACTCGCGCTCTTTCAACAGTTTGTTTGGCACTCGTCAACCGGCTTTTAAAGGAAGAAGCTGCGGTTAGTAGATATCTTAACCTCTCTTGGTTGTCAATATTTAACTCTTTTTTTTATCTTCAGGAACTTTTCTCGCGACCTGTTGACCCAGGGATGGATGGCTGTCCGAATTACTTGTCTGTGATCACCCATCCGATCGATCTTGGTACAATTCGATCTCGCGTTGAAGCCAAATTTTACCGGGTACGACGAAGAAAAGCTTTGAAGATCCATTCCTGTTTATCTAACATTTGTTGTTCTTCGCTAGAAATGGGAATTATTTAAGAAGGACGTTGAACTGGTGTGGCAGAATTGTCGTACATTCAACGCTCCTGACACGTTGGTAGTGCAGTTTGCCGACACGCTCTCGAAGCTGTCACGCTCCATGTGCATCGCTGCAGAGAAGAAAGGTGTGGATCGCATGAAGGACAGGAGAAGTGAGGACGAAGAGAGCGGGAACGAGAGTGAGGATATCATGAGTGATGCGAGCAAGGCGGAATCCCGTAGCAGTATTAACAAGGCGTGGACAGAGAGCAGTGCTTCAGAAAGTAGCGACTCCAGTGATGGCTCCTCTTCTGATGGCGACAGTGATAGTGACGCAGCTAGCCGCAAACGAAGACCATCGCGCTCGTCATCCAAGAAACCGCAAACTCGCGCTCGATCTACGAAGTCAAGTCGTACTAGTCGTCCAGCAAATAAGCGCAGCAGTCGGAGTACCCGAACTCGTTCGTCCAGGAAGCGTTCAGCACCCACTTCAAGCAGCGAAGACGAATCCTCAGCTTCAGAGGACGCAATTTTTTCTCCTGTTCGGAAGAATCCGCGGCCAAGTCGAGCGTCAGTGTCCAAGTCTAAAGACAAAGTGGATCCGCCAACGGAGGACGAAGATTTTAGTGCCGACGATAAAGCAGTCAACCGGCCCCCTCCGCCCCAGAATGGCGCTCCGTCGCCTTCGCCGCCACCTCCGCCACCACCGCAAGTGGCTCAGAAGCGTCCGAAGCCCCGACTCATCGTTAGCGACAGTTCCAGCTCCGATAGCTCCGATAGTGACGACAACTCGTCTTCTTCTGCGTCGTCTGATTCTGATGGGTCCGATAGCGATGCACGTCCCGCGAACAAGCCCCAGCCGCCTCCACCGTCTGCTGCAGAAGCTCCTGCTCCGCCCCCACCATCGCCACCTCCACCTGCTGCGTCGCCAGAGGACAGTAAACCTCCTGTGCGACCATCACCGAGTCACAAGACCAAGCCGAAGACTGCTGCTACTCAAGGCAAGAAGAAAGCGTCACCCACAGCAGAGACCGGCTACACCCACTCACCAGCCTTGTTGAACTCGTATCTCTCGTCTTCGTCTTCTTCGTCCGACTTTTCTTCGGGTGATAGCGATTCCAGTGACGGAGACAGTGATAGCGACTGAGGTGACTATAGGTAAATATCAAACAGGGAACCTGAGTGGCAACTGCACAAGTTAGTGTGTAATTTTGACTAGCGTCGCAAAGAGCACGTATAGCATAAGACCGTCAATTCATACGTGTTGGCAATGCTCCGTTCTACACCTTTCGAGTGCTGTTACCAGAAGTAGAGCACGTATAACAAGAGCACGAAAGCCGCAAGGTAGCTGAGGTTTACCTTGCTAGCGAGGAAGCGGAAGTTAAACCGGAAGCGCACGAATGGACTAGCAGGGTCCACTTCCAAGTTGTCTTCCAGTCGCTTGCCATGATACGGATTCACAAACCCAAACTGCGCATTCAGCCACGTCGAGAGCTTGTACGATAGCCGCACAAGCCACGCCACCTCGTACGAACAAATAGGACTAAGCATGGGGTCACCAATGTACTCTGCTGTATCTGGCGAGCACAAGCGTATGCCATACTGCAGCTGGAAAACACCCTCACGAGAGAGCAAGTGTGGCAGCTTCTTGTCCCGACTTGGCGCGAATGATTCCAACCCGCCACCTGTAGCTGCAGACGACGAGCGAGAGTGAGCCGTTGAAGCCACATAGGCATCTGAAATCTCGAATACGCGTCGCAACATGCGGCTCAAGCGCTGAACCTGCTCGGCCACTTTGTCAACAGTCTTTGAACTCGATACACGGAACACGGCGCTTACATTCTGGTACAGATCGGCAGGAGAGTGCACGGACGTCGAAGACGTGGCGGTGGATGCTGCGGCAGCTTCCCACAGCTTGTCGAAGAGACGTTCAGCGTCACGGTGGAAGCTGTCGTGGAGCGGGATGGGCGTGCATTCGATACCTAGAGACTTGCAGTAGAACGTCAGCACGTGCGCTTGAGTAGCCGTGAGCGCGTCGCCCGCTGTAGACTTGGACTTTGATGAGGAACCGATGCTCCCACTACGCGTACGTGTGATGTTGGAGCTACGATTGAAGCTGAAAGGCATAGCGAATGGCTGCGACTTCTCGAGGTGAAGCGATGCACGACGTAGAAGTGCCAATAAATCCGAATTGTACACGCTCAATACTCGATCAACAATCTGGAGGTTCCGCTCGTCACCTGCAGAGAAGTCCAGCTCCTTCGCGCGCTCCACAAATGCGCCTAAGAGCGTTGTGTAGAAGTGGTAATTCGCCAGTACGTAGCTTTCCCACGCGGAAGTGTACCCTGGTACCGTGTCCTGACCAGGTGTCGTCTCTACGCCCTTGGACTCAATCCAAGATCGACAATGCCACGGCTGGATATACGCGAGCCAAACATCCGTGATAGCCAGGAAAGCCGTCGGTGAGAGTCCAATAGGAGCCCGCGAGAACACGAGCCGGAAGAATGCGTACAGAGGAGGCCGCAGCATCGTGACACTTCGACTTAGATACACACCACCACTACCCACGACCATCCCGGTGCCTCCCTGTGATCCATTCGAGTCCTCAGCCAATGGAGCAGGGAAGAAAGAGTCCGACAGCAAGTGGATAATAGTGAGCAGCAACGAGCTCAGTAGATCATCCGATGGCGCCATGTAACTGGTGGACGTATAGACCGAAGCAAACGGACTCACAGGCATATTGGCCGGCGGTGGCGGACGAATGACGCCTGGAGCTGCAGTCGAAGCCCCAACAGGCTCATCTGAGAACGAAATGAGGTTCTGTCGCAGCCAAAATTCAATCAAAATGTGAAGAAACAGGTTCGAATCCTTGAGTAGTTTGCCGTGGAAGCGGCTCTTGACGCCACGGTTGCTGTCAGGCAAGAAAGCCCGTAAATACTGCAGTAGCAGCACGTTGTACGGGTTGCCTCTCGTTAGCGCTGTGACTCCGTCCTTCCCGTACATTCTCCAACTGGACTGTCGCGTCTTGGCAGTTGTAGACGTCGACGCCTTCGCTCCAGAGCTCGATCCAGCCGTAGTTGGGCTTGTAGACGTCGTGGATCCACTTGGATGCGATGAACTCGCTGGATGTCTAAGGAAATAGAACAAATATAACTCCGTAATAGACACGAGGAGCTCGGGATTGCGTAGATCCAGTCGCTGCTTGGCTAGAGGCTTGTGCAGCAGCTGCGTGAAGAGCAGACTAGCCCCTCGACCACTGACAATAGACATCTTGCTCTGCTCCGGCAGCATGTCCAGTGCTAGCTTAAACTCCACTGGATGCTGCACTCGAAAGAGGAACTGGAACACCGAGCCGTCCTCGGAGCGCACGCCACCGCCCAATAACTTGACGATGGCGCGTCCGCTAGTGGTTAGAGAGGCTAAAAACTCGTCAACGTCGTCCTCATCCGTGGCGACGCCTGCTGCCGCGCGCTCGCGTCTCTGCTCGGCGCGTTTCTTGGCTGCAAGTGCTGCGGATGAGCCTGTTGCGGGGGTCACGCCCAATCCGGCGCTATAATCGAGCCATCCGCCGTCCTTTTGCTTGGAGATTGCGTCTAGACCGAAGACGCGGTCCAAAAGCTGGTTGAATCGCTCGTAGAAGACGCTACGCAGCTGCGCAGACTGTCGTTTGGCCGCTGAGCCTGCCGATAAACCTGCTTGTGTCTCGGCCACCAGATAGCGACGCAGCGCCTCAGCCACGACTGGCACGTCGTACGAGTTGAGTGCACGCTCGAAGTCCGCATCCGACTCGCTGAAGGTCAGCGCTGAGGACGTGGGCGCTGCTGGCGAGGCAAGAGTGGAGGTGGAGCTGCCGGTTGCAGACAACCCCGCACTCATCGGTAACATTTTCTACTATTGACGCTAAAAAGGTTGGAGGGGAGCAAACACAGACTAAAGACTAAAAACGAGACTACATTTGTATCATGGCTACAGTTGTTGAAGTTCTTAGTTTTACTGCAGTAGGACGCCTTTGCTTTTAAAGTAGAGGATGCCAGTGGTGGTCATGACGAGGAAGAGTGCGATAGTGACTATGACGACGCCCAGGAACCAGCCATCTGCAGTTTCGAGTCCGGAATGTAGGTTCATCCCGAAGACGCCAGCGATGAACGTGCCGATGGACAAACTGATGACCACAATGGAGAAGATGAGGTCTACACCAAGCAGATAGTTTCGCATCGAGTCGAGCTGCATCATGACGAGACTCTCCGTGTTCGAGATACGATGCTGCATCAATTCAGCCTTGGTACGCGTGGAGAAAATGTCTTGGAGATAGTTCTCAATCAGCACCTCGATCTCCTCCGAGTCGATACTCCAAAGATCCGACAGCAGATTGGGCTCGTTATACAATCTCGTGAGATATAGCAGACGAAGATCTTCTTCGTTGTCTAGGAGCACCATCAACGCGCGACGCACACCGTCCACTTGAGTCTCGAACTCGTTGATGGTGTTCTTGAACTCCCGCAGTTTCTCGAGTTCTCGTGCGTTCAGACCGCCCTGCATCAGCCCATCGAGAGCACTGACAACTACAGGAGATAGTTGATCGAACTGGGACTGAAAGTAGCGTGAAAGCGTTGCCAGTAATGCCTCCAAAGCTCTGAAAAGCAATAGTTAGCGTCTCAAACCTGTGACCAAGTCCATCAATAGCTGTACCTGAATTCAAACGGAGCATCATCGTCACGCGCAGTCTCAGCAAATTTCGACTTCAAGACGGACAAGAGGGCATCCGCTCCGTCCGGGACGTACACGAGACACACATCTCGCAGCACAATAGCGCGCAATGGATCTTTGCCAACAAACAAATGTCAGCAAATGAACTGTACTTGTGAGTTGTTGAATGTTGCAGTTGTTCCTACCAGCGCTGATCAGAATTGCTTGTTTTCGAGTGACAATACGAGGCTCATTCGTCACTGAGAACGCATTCTCCATTTTGCGAATATCTCGGGAGTGAACGCGCTGGTGCACGAAGTACAATTAGATACTGCTGTGTTGATAAAGAGTACTACAACAAACGCACCTGAACACCGACAGCGTGCAGTTCTAGTTGACTTGCTTGTCGATTCTGCTGACCAAGTTTCCAAATCTTCCCAGCAGTAGAACTGCTACTGCGTCTGCGCATTGGAGGCGGTGACATTTTCTCCATTTCCGGCGTTGCATTCTCTTCACGCTTAACCTCTTCCTTTGGTTCTGCAGCCTCCTGGGTCATTCGTAGTACCTCATGACGACTCATTTCCTTCAACGTTGGTCTCCCCTTTCGATCGAAGACCATCATCAGAACTCGACCGCTCTTCGCCCCAGGATCGAAATGGCACCCGAACTTTTTGAACGGACCGTGACTCGAGCCACTGAGCTCGACCGTCTCCGGTAACCGCACTTCGACCATGCGCTGGTACGTCCCGTATGAAGTTGAAGGGCTGGCATACTCACTAGACTGCTGACTGGCTCCACCAAGCAGCGGTGATGGGGAAGAATCACTTTCGATGTTGTCCGAGAAATCTAGAGCCTCCGACATGAGTGAAGAAAAAGGAGGTTTGAGTTATAAGAGGATCCTTAATACTAACTTGTCAGGTTCACGTCCCTTTGACGGACGGCTGTGGTAGTTTAACGAAAAGATATGACGGTTGGTTTCCAAGTACAATTGAGATTCTATTCACATTAGCATGACTCCTTTGTGCTTGAAAAACAGTACGCCTCCTCCCATTGAGATGACGAAGAAGGCGACAATGGCGACGACGACACTCCAAAACCAGTAATCGGCGGTATCCACGCCTGAAGCCAAGTTCATACCAAACATACCCGAGACCAAGGTACCCACCGCTATGTTGACAGACAGGAGTGAGAAGATGAGCTGCGCTTTCAGTAGATAGTTCCGCTTCGAGTCGAATTTGAGTGTCACGAGACTCTCCGTGTTGGTGATCCAATGTTGCAGCAGCTCGGCCGTCGTGCGAGTGGAGAAAATATCTTGCAGGTAATTTTCGATCAGCACTTCAGCTTCCTCCGAGTCGAAGCTATAGAGATCCGACAAGAGGTCAGGATTCTCGTAGATTTTAGTGAGATA